CTTATGTTCATATGACCCAGTAGTATCACTCCTGCATATTTACCTAAGAAAAATTAGATCATATGTCCACCCAAAGATTTGTTATGTACACGTTCCTAGAAGTGTTATTTGCAATAGCCAAAAACTAGAAACAACTCAATGTCTATCAACAGGTGAGTAGATCTGTGGAATATCCATATAATTAAATACTTCTCAGCAGTAAGAATGGAGTGACTAATGATGCACATACCAGCATGGGTGTGTCTTAAAAGCTTTATGCTAAATGAAAGGGCCACGAGGGGCACCTGGGTGGTTCAGTTAGTTGAGCCACTGCCTTCAGCTCACTCAGGTCATGGTCCTGGAGTCTTGGGATGGAGTCTCACATCAGGCTTCCCCTGCTCTGTGGGGGGCCTGCTTCTCCCTCTCCCTCTGCCTGCCACTCCCCCTGCTTGTGCTCTCTCTCTCTCTGTGTCAAATAAGTAAATAAAATCTTTTTAAAAAAGGGGGGGGGCACGTATTGAAAAACTGTGTACTGTATGAAATCATTTATATGACATTCCAGAAAAGATAAAACTATAGTGATAAAAACAGATCAGCTGTTTTCAAGAGCCAGAGGGTAGGAAAAGGGACACAGGTTCACTGGATGATGGAGATGTTACATGTGATGGTTGCAGCATTACATGACAACACATTTGTTAAAACTCATCTAGTCATCCCTTAACAGTGATGACTGCTAGTGTATGAAATTATATCTCAATAAAGCCTATAAGGAAAGTAAAAATGTGCAAGATCTACAGAAAGAAAACTAAAACTTCGAAGAACATAAAAGGTGATCTGAAAAAAATGTGTGGTTCATTCTCCTTCAATTCTACCCAAATTAATCTGCAATTTCAATGTATTTTCACAGAATTGGGAAGTATTGGGGGAAAATTTTGACTGATTCTAAAACTCATGCACAATAAGCAAGCCAGGATTACTACTGAATTCTTGTTTCCTTTGCCTTTGGAGACATATCTTGAAAGAAGTTATTGTGGCTGATGTCAAAGAGGTTATTGTCTAAGTTCTCCTCTAGGATTTTGATAGATTCCTGCCTCATATTGAGTTCTTTTATCCATTTCAAGTTTATCTTTATGTATGGTGTAAGAGAATGGTCAAGTTTCATTCTTCTACACATAGCTGTCCAATTTTCCCAGCACCATTTATTGAAGAGACTGTCTTCTTTCCACTGTATATTTTTTCCTGCTTTGTCAAAGATTATATGACCATAGAGTTGCAGGTCTATATCTGGGCTCTCTACTCTGTTCCACTGGTCTATGTGTCTGTTTTTGTGCCAATACCATGCTATCTTGGATCACAGCTTTGTAGTAAAACTTGAAATCAGGCAACATAATGTCCCCAGTTTTGTTTTTCTTTTTCAACTTTTCCTTAGCAATTTGGGGTCTCTTCTGGTTCCATACAAATTTTAGGATTGTTTGTTCCAGCTCTTTGAAAAACACTGATGGAATTTTGATCGGGAAGGCACTGAAAGTATAGATTGTTATAGGCAGTATAGATATTTTAACAATGTTTATTCTTCCTATCCATGAGCATAGAATGCTCTTCCATCTTTTTGTGTCCTCTCCAATTTCTTTCATGAGGGTTCTGTAGTTCCTCAAGTACAGATCTTTTACCTTTTGGTTATGTTTATTCCCAGGTATCTTATGGTCCTTGGTGCTGTAGTAAATGAAATTGATTCTCTAATTTCCCTTTTTATATTTTCATTGTTAGTGTATAAGAAAGCAGCTGATTTCTGTACATAGATTTTGTATCCTGCCTCATTACTGAATTGATGAGTTCTAGTAGTTTGGGGGTGGAGTCTTTTGGGTTTTCCATATAAAGTATCATGTTATTTGCGAAGAGAGAGAGTTTGACTTCTTTTTTGCCAATTTGAATACCTTTTATTTCTTTTTGTTTTCTGATTGCTGTTGCTAGAGTTTCTAGTACTATGTTGAACAATAGTGGTGAGAAATTTTGAAATCTCTTTTCTGATGTTCCTCCCTGATTGTTTACTTTTTTCCTTGCAAAAGAAAATATAAAGAGTAGGAATAGCAAAATATACTTGAGAGCTTTGTAATTAAACCAATTGCTATGTATTAGAAATAAACAAACCAGTGTTTCAGAGTAGAATGCAGGCACAGATCCATGAATACAAGGAAAGGCACATAAAAAGGACATTTCAAGTCATAAGAAAAAACACTGGGGTTATTTCTTGAAATTAGTGTCTCGCATCATACACAAAAAATGTGAAATATAGATATAAACATTAAAAAGTAATAAGTACTTCAGATATTCTGAAAGCAAATATAAATATTTTTAAAATTTTGAGGTGGGAAATATCTTTGTAAATTTTAAGTATAAGCTAGAAACTATAAAAGAAAAGCCTGACAGATTTTACTACATAAAATTTTCCAGCTTCCTTAAGACAAAAGATAATACCAACCAAAAAGAATAACATGAAACAACACAAAATAACAACATATACCAGCAAAATGTAATATATATATTATTAGTTCTATGCTTGTTCAGCATGGTTAAAAAAAAAAAGGGCCAGCAGAATTGTATCACCAGCAAGATACACGCACCAAGCATTTTTAGGAGGAAATCAAATGACCAATAATAACTGGAAAATGCTCAACCACAACAAAAATGAAAGTAATGCAAATTAAAACAGGAATGAAATAAAAATGTTTACAGGTAAAATGTTAAATGTTTGTAAAGTCTTGTGCAAGAAATACTACTCTAAAGTAAAGAAAATCTAACTGTATGAATAGATTTATCCAGATTTATGATAAAATTCTAAATGTGTTAATATATGCCTAGAAAAAAATCTGGAAAGATATATGTTAAAGTTTACAAAGATCATATATTTTATTTTTTAATATTTAAATATTATTTATTATTTGAGAGAGCATATGAACACACATGCACATGGTAGGGAGGGGCAAAGGGAGAGGGAGAAAGAAACCCAAACAGACCCCGAGTTAAGTGTGGAGCCTGACCCCAGGCTCGATCCTACGACCCTGAGATCACCACCCAAGCCAAAACCAAGAGCCTGATGCTCAACCAACTGCACCATCCAGAAACCCAACAAAGATCATATATTAAAAAATAAATAAATAAAGATGTGAGCATTCTGAAAAAAAATGTAAATTACTATTTTAAAAGATGTGATCTAACCACATTCCTTTTCTCATTTTTTGGTCTTATGAAAAGTGTTAGTTCTCTATTGCTTCTGTAATAAATTGCCATAAGCTTCATGGCTTAAAAGAATACAAACTTATTATCTTACAGTTCTGAACGTCAGAAATCTGACACAAGTCTCATAGGGCTAAAACCAAGGTGTCTACAGGGCTTTGTTCCTCACTGGAGGCTACAGGATTTGAAGGACCCAGGTGACTTGATTGGGACCACCTACACAATCCAGGACAGTCTCCCCATCTCAAGATCCTTAGCTTAATCACACCCTCAAATTCTCTTACCATGTGAAGTCATCAGTCACAGGTTCCAGAGATTAGGACTTGGATGTCCCTGCTTCTGTTGATAGAAGATTCTTAGGGATCATAGCACACCCATGTATGTCACGGGGATCTCCTCCGTTAGACAGACCCTTCCACAGATCTTTCCTATACAATCATGTATCTATTTTTTAATTCTGTGGACATGGCTGAGGGGATCTGTGAGTCACATACTTAATCCCTTCAAAGAACCTCTTCCTCATTGACTGAATACGCTGACTGTTCATTACTTCTGGCGCATTAGCAGAAAGTTGTAAGAACATACTCTTGGTTATCACTACAGACCACACTTTTCCTGACAGTGAAGCTCCAAATTTTAGCACCTTTTGCAGCTTGGAAAGGCTGAGACCTTTTCAAATCATCAAATCCTGATTCCTTTTGCTAAGCAGTTCTTCCTTCAATTTACCTCTTTCCCCTTGCATTTTACTCTGAGCAGCAAAATGGAAATCAGTTGCACCTTTATCACTTTGCTTAGAAACCTCCTTAGCTATATATCCATAAAGTTTGGCCTTCCACACTATCAGCAGGACAGAATTTTGCTAAGCTTTTGGCCACTGCATACTAAGGCTTCCCCTTTCTCTAGTTTCAAAAACATGTTCTTATTTCCTTCAAAGTGTCACCAGTGACACTTTGAACTTCCATATTTCTACCAAGTCCTCATGATGATTTGGATATCCTCTAAGACAAAATAGGTTTTCTCTACCATGTTCTGCACTTCCAAGCTTTCTCTAGCAGAGTCTGCAGCCCCATATTTCTAACAAACTGCTTAAGGTAATCTAGACATTTTCTATCATTCCACTTAAAATTCTTCCCTTTGCCCACTGTCCAATTCCAAAAATTATTTCTACATTTTTAGGAATGCATTACAATTGCACTCCACCTCCAATAACCAAAGTCTGTATTACTCTTCTACTGCTGCCATAACATGACTACAAATCTAGTGACTTACAACATAAATCTATTATCTCACAGTTATGTTGATTAGAAGTCTGACAAGGGTCTCTCTGAGCTAAAATCAAGATTCCAGTAGGCCTTCATTCCTTTCTGGAAGTTGTGCAGTAGAATACATATCTTTGACTTTCCCAGCTTCCAGAAGCCATCCATATTCCTGGTTCTTTCCTCCATCTTCCTCCTCCTCCAGCCAACAATATGGTATCTCTGTGTGACTATCTTCCATGGCCACTTCCCCTCTCTCCACAGCTAGGAAGAGCTATTCCATTATATTGGGTCTACTCAGATAATCCAGAACAATCTCCTCCTCCAAGGTCCCTAACTTGATTATATCTGTAAAATCTCTTTTGCCACATAAGATAATAGAGAATACAAATTCCCGAGATCAAGATATGGACATCTTTGGGCAGACAGCATATTACCATCACTTAATATTGTAAATAGTAATAATGCAATTCAAACATTAGAAACCTCATTTTTAACATCAAAAGCAAGTAAAATCTTATGTACTCTTACTTCTCTTCCTCTTGAGTCTTCCCGAAGAGGTGTTTTCAAGATCCACGGTATCTAGAGAATTGACAGGTGAGGGTGAGGAAACAGAACTTAAAAACAAAAGTTACACATTTTAGGATTACTCATACTGCAGAAGACCTGAATTTATAAAGATGCTTGGATTATCATTTCTCTCTCCCTTCTGAAGGGACTAAAAACCTACTGAATTCAGAAGTAGGAGTCCAAGATGGGCCCTGGGTCTTCCTTTGTTTCTCAACAGTCCTTGGAAAAACACTGTGAAATACCTTTGTACTTCAGTTTACTCAGGGACTTTTGTCCAGGTATTAAGATTATTGTGAGGATTAAACAAAATCTTATGTGAAAATATTTACAGGAAATCACTAGATAAACCAGCAACATGCTAGAGGGCATCCATCAAAAATATGTGCTGAGTTAAGGATAGTCTTTCCTCTTGACAAGTAAGTGGCATCACTAGTTATCTTTTGAGACTTTTCTAAGGTTGTGACAAAAAGACACTGTTATCTACTAGCAGAAGTATGCTTGGCTTTCTTGGGCTCCACAGAAGATTGGGTGTGACAGGAATGGAAATCACTTTATAAAATGCAAGTGTTCATTATTAGTAGACTAATGTAGTAAACATGATACTGCCATCTTTGTGTATTTCAACTACAATACTCATGTGTAATCAGCAGGACCCATCCTGTTAAACACGACTTTATTATGATCTCTTGCCTCTCTACTATTCCCAAAAGGGTCAGGTCAAACAAAACAGGGAACAGGATACTGGGATGGACTGGACCACCTGCCACTACCCAGCCCTAGAGCCACTCCCCATCCCACAACCCTCTGGTGGCCTTACCCATCGTGTCACATGCTTGGCTACTTTCTGGACCTTCTGGCACATTTTTTGAAAAGCACATAACACAGGAACACTTCTCATTTCCATCTTCTGATAGCTCTGCTTCTGGGCCAAAATTGTGATATACAAAGACTTTCATTTACCTCAGGGATCCCCTTTTCTGTACCCTTCTTGATCACCCCTTCTCTGCTTCTTCCTCTGAAATCTTCCATTGACAACCCCCATTTCTGGCCTTTCCTTTAAGTCTCCCTTTTTCCTCCCTTGTCTTTTTCTCTTTATCAGCTCTGTTTCTGTTTTTCTTATTCTTTAAGTCATAATTACCTTCTCCATCACAGAGTAGTAGTCTGGAACTAAGTTCTTCCGATTCTTCCTCTCTATTCATTTGGAGAGTTTCTAGTTTGCCAGATAGTAAAGAGAAGCAAAAAAATTACAGTCCATAGATCCTGAGAGTGACCAGGGAAGAGCTTCTGGTGCTTTCATGATGCACCATGATATTTTGAGCTAAAATGAACTGCCTTCTGAAAGAAGACTACATCTGCTCCAATAATCACAACCTAGAGCTGCCAAAGGCATGCTTTTCCCATCTTTTGTACCTCATTCTGCTTTCTTTACTCCTACTTTTCTACCTGTAGCCTCAAGAATAAAGGAAAAAGATCTTATCCTTTCAGGAAAAAAAATAGCTATTCTTTGAAAATAGTAAAAAGTAATTATGAGAACAGTTTTAAACTCATCCCAATTGGTCCATCACTACTTACATCACTAAGCCAGGCAGTGAGTGACAGCCTCACACTTCTGAAAATCAGCCCATCAGCAAGAGCCGCATTCCAGAAAGCCTGTTTTTATGACTAAACGATAACCTAGTTATAAACACTCCCCAGGTCTGAAAGTCTGCAGTTCCTGAACTACAAGCTTCCTAAAACTCTATCTAAAAGCAATTTCCTTTTAAAAAGAAACTATGTTCTGTAAGTACCATACCTCCTTCCACCATGCATCTTGCTTATCAAGATATGGCATGATGATCTATCCCTCCAAAAATGGATTTCCCACCAAGCCATCTTGAAGACTCTTGTTTAGCAACATCATGTGGGATCTTTGGGCCAATAGGCCCAATCCACTGCTTCTTGTGCCCAACTCAGATTGTTTTCCTGATCAATCCATCTCAACAATGACTTGAGCTCTGCCTTGTTTCATTGAGTTCTTATTTCTGAATTAATTTTTTTAAAGATTTTATTTATTTATTTGTCAGAGAGAGAGAGAGAGAGAGTACAAGCAGGCGGAGTGACAGGCAGAGGCAGAGAGAGAAGCAGGCTCCCCGCTGAGCAAGGAGCCTAATGCGGTACTCGATCCCAGAATCCTGGGATCACAACCTGAGCCAAAGGCAGTGGCTTAACCGACTGAGCCACCCAGGCATCCCCTGAATTAATCTTATTATTTAAAGATGTATATGCAATTAGACACAAAGTAGTTAGACACTTTGGTTTGGAGGTGTAGCATTTAGCAAATATTCTGTTAATATTTTTTATTCTTCTACTGTTTCATTTACTCTAACTTTTGTCTATTTTCCAAAAGGTTTTCTTATGTGTGTTTGTTTGCTCTTGATTTTCTTGTGCTTCTTGAATGCTGGAAGGAAGTGATCCAAAGCAAATAGATGGAGGCACAGACCTGAGAAGTCCCCTATGCAAAACGTATTGATGGACGTGGGTCCATTAGACAGTAGCTAGTGTGTGCAAAAATATTTGGTCACACTTGGCCTTGAGTCCCTCTCCAAAACCTCTCATCAATTTGAGAAACAAAATCATTTTGTTTAGCAAATAATCTTGAGGTCAACTGCTATCATGTTATCAATCATACGTTCCCTTTGCAGTCTCTGCTCAATGGATGAACCTAATACTCCATTCACTTGCAGAACACAATTCTCATCAAGGACTGCATGTGGTGACCTCATTGCTACTTGCCATGGCTGTGTCTTGGTTGAAGCTACAGTCTCCCCCTGAAAGAACTCCACTTCCTCTTTGTACTCTCAGAATCATTCTTGCACTTTTCTTAAATAAATGGCAAAATTTCACCAAAGATAACTTTGAGTTTCAAAGGAGAAGTCTGGACATGTCAAAAGTAAACAATGCTTTTGGTAGTACTTCTATAAGAGAGAGAAAGATGACCAAAAGTTCCCATGTCCCAACCAGTAACTGCTAATTTCAGACCATCGTCTAACAGTTTCTTTTCTTTTAAAAAATCTCCATAAATTTAATAGGAAGGGTCTATTTTGCAAATGAAACTACCAGATTAAGGGGCACCTGGGTGTCTCAGATGGTTAAGCAACTGCCTTTGGCTCAAGTCATGATCTCAGAGTCCTGGGATCAAGCCCCATCTCATGTTCCTGGCTCAGCGATGAGTCTGCTTCTCCTTCTCCCTCTTTCCCTGCCCCCTGCTCCTGTTCTCTCTCTCTCTCTCTCCAATAACTAAATAAAATCTTGGTTTCACTTACTTCTGAAACATAAGGAATAGCATGGAAGACATTAGGAGAAGGGAAAAATGAAGGGAGAGAAATCAGAATGGGAGAGGAACCATGAGAGACTATGGACTATGGGAAACAAATGGAGAGTTTTAGAAGAGAGAAGGGTAGGGGGGATGGGTGACCCTGGTGATGAGTATTAAGGAGGGCACAAATTGCATGGAGCACTGGGTGTTATACACTGGGTATTAAGGAGGGCACAAATTGCATGGAGCACTGGGTATTATACACAAACAATGAACACTACATCAAAAACTAATGCTGTACTGTATGGTGACTAACATAAAACAATAAAAAAATAAAATTTTCTATCATTAATAATTAAGTAATTAATTAAAAAAGAAAGGAACTAGCAGATTAAATATAAAGGAAGAATAACTTTAGAATTCTTAGAAAATTCTCCTATGCATAATCAATTTATAATTGATTTGAACATTAGTATGTCTACACTATGCATGATTCGAGATCTGCAGGCAGTTGACAAAGTAGGTATAACTCATTTCTCTGTAGTAGCTAACCCAATTACTATAACTCTTTTCTAAAGCCAGATTCTTTTCTTTAATACATTTATGCTCAGCTTTGTTTGATGTCTCATTTGATAAGAATAGGTTACATTATTTACTTGGGAAAGTCAATGGCTCATCTGGACTGTTATTTTCTAGAAATGTACTTAAGTCTCATTGTAGTAGGCAGAAGTCTCAAAGTCCACTCAATATTTCCTTCCCTAACCCCAGGGACTGCAAATATCATGAGATGTTACCCCTATTTTTAGATTATGCCATATGGCAGAGTTGGTGTTAAGAAAAAGAGATAATTAACATGAGAGATAACCAATGCTGGTGAGGATGTGGAAAAAAGGAAGTTTTGGTGCACTGTTTGTAGGATTGTAATGTGATATAGACACTATGAAGAACAGTATGAGGGTTCCTCAAAAAAACCTAAAAATTAAAACCTCCATATCATCCAGCGATTCCACTTCTGGGTATATATCTGATGGAAACAAAATAAGTGTGTCAAGGAGCTATCTGTGTCCCCATGTTCATTTCAGCATTGTTTACAATAGCCAAGACATAGAAACAACCTACATGTCCACCAACAGAAGAATGGATAAGGAAAATGTGGTAGATAGATACATATATACACAATGGAATACTATTCATCAATTTAAAAAAAGGAGGGAAATCCTGCTATTTGCTCTCTCTTACCTGATCCACTTTCTGGTAGTGAGCTCAAGTCTTCCTCAGGTTCTTCTTCATCACACATTTCTAAACAGGCACTGTTACCTTCTGCTGAACAGAATAAAATCCCTTAGAGGATCCAGCATACGACCAATGGAAACAATAGCAGGAAAAACCACCCTGACAATCAAGGTGGCTCAAATAGCTTCCAGGTGGGAATGTCCCGGACCTCAGACCCTCCTGTCTTTGAGTTCACCTGACCTGGAAGTTAACATGGCTCATGTCCCTGTCACCAGTGGCTGAGAATGGTTCACCCATCTCCCTCCCTTACCATGCACCTAATTCCCTCTCTTTTTGACCCTTTTCACTTGGCTTTACACATTTCTTCTGTATGAAGAAGTGAAGAGGAAGGGAATCAGTGGAGGAGGGAAGAGAAGGGAAATTTTCCTCCTTGTAGAGAGAAAAACAAAGATTTGGCTAGTGAAATGGAAGTTGAAATTGTACTTACCTTCCCCGTCACATAGCAGTTGCCTGGGCACTTCCACTGGTTCTCCTTCACTGATCATCTGGGGAGCTTCAGGATCATAGGACCATGAAGGGAAATAAGGAAATGAGCTGAGCCAGGATGTTCAGAACACAGGTGAGCTGCCCTTTGGGAAAAGGGACATCTGTTCCAAGGACCCCACTTGAGAGCCAACTGGGCCCTTCTTCCCCTGACTCCCCTACTCTCTGCTTCTCCATTTCCTTCCCATAGATCTTCCTCCAGAGATTTCCACTTCTGCACTAGGAAAATATTTGTGCATCTTTGATTTTGTGGGCTCCACTCCCCCGACTTCTTCTATTTCTTTACTTTTCTTTTTGTTTCCTCAGTGGTGATCTTAATCATTTCTTTCCTGCTTATTCCTCCTATCTCTCTTCTTCCAGATCTCTCTAATCCCTAAAACAGGGTCCACCCCTTCTGTCACTGTCTCTCTTGATTTCTTCCCCTTCCAACTGGCATTCTTTACTTGTAAAGTGGAAGATTTTCTGCTTTAGGCCCTGTCTGTTCCCTCTGGAACTCTTCTTACATGGGACCACATTGACCTCTGTTAGCTTCACATAGCCACTACCTGCAATGAGATGCTCAGGGCATGGGTCTCTGCTCTTCCTCCTACTTGATCTTAGGGAAAAACAAGTAATCTTCATCTGTGCTTCCATGCCTTTCTCTAAGGAGAAATAACAGCAGTTTCCCTAGCCTAAGTCCTAAAGCCTCACTTGCCAAAGTACTTTGGAGATTGAAAAAAAAAAAAAAGCACAAAATAATCCATGATGACGAAAGCTATAATTTGGGTTCAAGAGCCCTTGATCTTTCCTTCTGACAAGAAGATCTTAGAACCACATTTCATCTGAAGCCTACCCAAGTTTATGACAATATAATAATAATATTAAGCACTAGGTATATACTTAATTAACTGTTATTCTTTATAGAAAATAAGAAGTAGCCAGGGTTTAAAATCACAATACTGAGTCCTTCCTATGAATAGACGTAAAGAGTGTGAAGGAAAAAAGGCACTGTCTTTGCCTTTATTTTTTATCTACCACAGTATTTATATACCACAGTATTTATCTACCACAACATGAAGAGGGAATACATCTGTTCTAACAATAAGGGCCATGCTGTTCAGTTCTGAATTTAGCTGCCTGATACCCTGCAGCCCAGGGCTGGCAATCCCTTCCTTACCTTGCCCACATGTTGATGGGGAACTCAAAGCTTCCTGAGGCTCTTCTTCCTCATGGGTCTCCCAGTAGGCATTGCCATGCTCTGCAGAAAGGAATGAAACCCCTAGTCATCTCAGTACACAACCAGGGGAGATCATTGTGAGAAAACTCACAGTGAAAGCATGGAACACTTGGGAATCTGCTAGGCGGGGCTGTTCCTTTTACAAACCATCTGGTCAATCTCTGGGCTCACCTGGCCTCAGGTTGACTCACTCCTGTTGCCATCACCAGAGCCTGAGGACCAACCACCATCTTCCTCCTCTTGTGTATACCTAATTCTGTCTCCACTTCTCCTCGTTTCCCATTGTCCCTGCTCATTACTTCTGTCTCTCCCCTTATCTCCTGCTGTCAGTGTCTCCAAGTGCTTCTCTTTGTTTGGATGTGTTTCTGTCTCCTTTTCTTCTGTATCTTTTTCTCTTGTGCCTCTGACACTCTTTAGTGTTTTTATTACCTTTCCCTATCTCATTCAGTTTTTTTCTTGCTTCCTTTCTTCTAAGTTAGGAGAGGCATCCCTAAAATAGTACTGTATAACCTGATCAGGAGGTGGGATAAGGAACAGACTAGGTCAAGGCAACACCACCACGCACAAGGAAAAGTTGTTCTAAAGCCCACATATAAAAGAAAGATTATAACATTGCAATCACTGAAAATATTTACACTATCATGAGTATGAGGCAGAAGCAATAGACTGGGGCACCATGGTGAGTGGGAGACACAGAAGACCACAGGAAGGACAACTGATTTAATCCTAAGACAACAAAGATCACCAGGTTTACATCGGAAAGTAATATGATCTGATTGACATCTTGCAAATAACAATCATGCTAAAGTGGAGAAAATGAAGAGAATGGGAACAAGAGAAAATGGTACATTCATGTCCCCTTTAACAAGGGAGCAAACTCTGGAGAAGGAGTTTCTAGTTTCACAGAAGAAGCTGTTAGCATCAGTTTTGGAGTGTCAGTTCCTGAAAGTTATCTAAATGGAGAGGATCCTGTGATAAATGCCTTCAGGTACACAGAGGGCTGACCTTGGGAGACAGGTGTCCCTAGCAGGCATGCACTTGAGACTCATTCTATTACCTGGGAGTAACTGAGACAGCCAAGGAGAGGGTTATTGGTTTCTGAATATGTTCTGGGCACCACTTCCTACCTGGGGAGATTAAATCTGAAAACTCACTACCAAGATAGACTCCTTTTGTTGGAAGATGCTCTTGTCTAGACTTGTACTTCAGCTTTACAAGATCCCAACTTCTCCCCTATACGGCAGTTTCCACCCCTTATTGATTTTTAAATTATTTTTATATAACTCTTTCTCTACATAGTATCCTTTGTGCTTTCTTCCACGTTATTATTATTTTGATGTTTATTTGCCATATTATTATATAATCTCTCTAATTTTCATCTTCATACCTCTATTCTCCATTAACTTATATCCTTTCCAGGTTGTCTCTCACTTTCTCTTTTTCTACCTCTGTTTCTCTGAGTCTTTCCCTCTGGATGCTTTAAAATTTCCCTTATTTTATCTATTTGCCTTGTTTTCACAGATGCTTCCTCCCAAACTGACAGAAGTTCTTCCCTTTTCACATGGACCACAATACCAGACAGCCTTCCCTCATCAGCTCTATGCTAACAACCTCCCTAGGGAACTTTTAAAGTGCAAACCTATCACTCATTCACAAAACTTGTGTCCATATTTCTGGTACTTACAGAAGTAGGCTGAAAATGATCTCGTTGCTTCAATTGCCATAACCTGCTGTTATTTGGGGTTTTGTGGACATTTAATAAAATGACCCAGGCCCTTCTGCTCTGGTGCCCCAGCCTACCTCTGTTATATCCTGTCTCCCTATGTTCTCCCTGCCTGGAGAACTCAGGAGCTCTGTTCACCATTATTCTTAGTCTCTCTCACAGTTTTGGAAAAAACAAGACAGAAAATGGACACAGTCTCACTTGTATGTATGTGAATATGAAGAATAGAATGGTAGGATGGGAGAAAGGCAAGATTTTTTTTTCCATGCTGATCAGAAAACAAAAGTTTATTGAGAGAGTTGGGAATTTAAATCAGAATTACCTTGTCCCTCTTCTGCTGGTTGACTGGGCATCTCCTCTAGTTCTCCTTCATTAGTCACTGGGGAAACTCTGGGATCATAGGTCACTGCAGAGAAACAAGGACATGATGGACCATGAGGGTGATGGGAGCAAACCTCATCATGTCCATGCCCCACCAGGATGGGAAAGCAAGCTGCCTGCTCCATGGGGCCCCTTGGAGCCACATTGTCTTGTTCTGCTTTCTGCCATCTTGTTACATCTGCCTCCACACATCTGTTTCCTAACTGTGCATCTCTTCCATTGTCTGGGCTTCTACCCCATCTCTTGTTTTTAGGCCTTAGTTTTGTTTTTGCTTTTCAGTGATAATGTATCTATTTTCTCTCATTACCCTGTCAAGCTTTCTTACTCTAGATGTCTTCAAGCCCAAGTGGTTGAGTCCATTCCAATGTTCTCTGTCAGTATTGCCCTTTCTCTCCCCACCAACATCAGTTTTTCCCTTATTTTTTTAAAACTCAAGAAAACTTTTATTTTAGGAGGTGAAACAGGCCCAGCCCCAAAATAGAAACAATTCTCTTATACTAAGGTGGAAGACTGATGATTACATTCTATTAGAGCAGAGGGGCTGTTAAAATATTCTCCTGTCCACAGGCCCTTAAGAATGTTGTCAAACAGTTGAAACATTTGGAAACCCATGCCCAGGTTTTCTTTTTTTCTCTTCTTAAAAATTTTTTATTTAAATTCAATAATTAGCATATACTGTATTATTAGTTTCAGTGGTAGAATGTAGTGATTCATCAGTTGCATACATTACCAGTGTTCATTACCATACATACCCAGTGTTCATTACTTCAAGTGCTCTCCTTAATGCCCATCACACAGTTAGACATTTCTCCAAAGAAGACACACAAATGGCCAACAGACTCATGAGCAAATGCTCAACCTCACACGGCATCAGGGAAATACAAATCAAAACCACAATGAGATACCACCTCACACCAGTCAGAATAGCTAAAATTAGTTTTCCTCTTAATGAAGGTCTTATGTTGGACCCAACTTCTTTGGGAATGTGTGGGACTCCTGGGGCTTCCTCTTCATGTTCTGACCACAGGACCCCACCTTGACTGCCAGGTGGCTTCCCACAACTCTTCCCTCAGTGACATACCCACTGCTGCCCACTCTGCCTTTTCTGCTTTGCCCTTGCAAAAAGAATCTGCATGCCTTTCTGTGCTTTGTTTTTCCATCCACAAAACAGATGTTATGACAGTTTACATACCTGTGTCTTAAAGTTTTTCAAAGATAAAAGGAAGTCTCCCACAACCCAGTAATCTGATAGAGACTGTCAGAAACTTTGCACACCTGTCTCCCACACTTTGTTCTCTTTCTCATTTTTACCCTTCCCACATGTGTCTGCCTCTTCTGTTTCCACCTCTGTTTCACTCTTGGGATCTCTTGGCACTCCTCTTTATCTTGATTTGTTTCTTTTCCCATGTCTGTTCCCACCTCCCTTTTTTCCCCATCATGCTTCCCTGGTGCTATGCTTTATTTCTTCTTCCTGACTCTTATTTTGGGGGTCAGAAAAGGCATCTCTGAGATGGTATCTAATATCTACATGATTTCACCAGATTAGTGAGCGAGTGGGCAGGAAAACTGTCCAGGCACAGGGCCAAGCATGTGCCAAAGCTCAGGTGAGAAAGAGTAATCAGATAATTAAAATTACTAAACAAGTTTTATACAAATTTTTGAGGTAATTGAAGGACAGACATGAGGCTGGACCAATGGGGAGGAAAGTGGATTTAATCCTTCTGACAACAGGAAGTTATCAACTTAATGTAGGAAAGTAGAATAGAACAACCTGTATTTTCAGAGTCCTCTAGTTAACCTGGAGAGATTGGGTATGAGGGGAACATGACTGGAAGGAAGATATGAGACTAGAGGCTGTTGCTCTGGTTCCAGAGAGAAGAGACATCTGGCTAGAGTGTTTGTGTTGGTATTGGAAGGGAATGGATGGGCAAGAGACAAGTTCGAGGTATAACTGACTAATCTCGATGACTGATGGGCTATGTGAGTTGAGGGAGGGGGATGAGTCACTGATGACCCCTAAATTTCTGCCTGAGGAATGGAACAATGGGGTTCTGTCCTGAGATAGGGAACACCAGGAAAGGAGGAGATCTGGGGTCAAGAAACATGGTATGTGTAATTGGGGGTATCTTGTCTTGAGGTTCCTGAAAAACATCCAAATGGAGATGTCCTTCAGGCCCCCTGTACAACTGTATTCAGACCCTGAGATGAGTGAGGTTAGAAAACGAGTCTGGGCCAGACAGGTGTTTGGCGATCATAAGTTATAGATGAGAGCAGACAAAGATGACAGCGGGGAGGCCCACTGCCTCTGAGAATATTATAGGAACCATGTTGATAACTGGGGACATGATAATTTGAAAACCATGGCTAACATTTTCCACCCTTAGTGGCAAACTTGTTTCCGATGAATGACTTCTCTCAATTCCTACAATGTCCCAAACTGTCTTCTCTTTCCCTTGTACAGTGTTCATCTCTGCTGAATTTTCACTCATCTCCTTTTTCTTAATGTGTAACTTCTATTGCCCCTCCTCCACCCTTTCTTTTTCTTAGTGTTTCCCGCCCACCCCACCCTGCATTTTTCTCTTAACATCATGTTCCATGTTCTCTATCTATCTAAAATGATGGAGTTTATCTCCTTTCTTCAATGTTGTTCATTTCCCTGCTTCTATCTGTTCTCTCTAGTTCTTAACTTTCTGTTTCTAATTTTTCAACCTAAGAATTAAAACTGAACATTTAAATTTCAGACTTTATTTCATCCACATCCATATTCCTTCCCCATATCACCAATGTTCTGGACTGTGGTCATTGGCAAATGAGCAAGGATCCTTCCCTTTGCCAGGTACATTTTGAAATTCTTTCACATGAATTCTCTGTGTTGCAATTATTCCCATTATACCCATGTTCCTGGCATAGCCTCAGGGAAAATAGGTTGGAAATGATCTCCCCTTCCTGATAACACGGTTATATTTAGACTTGATGTCTATTTAAATAGAATTGCCAATCACTTTGGTCCTGTTTCATGGAGTTTCATTTCATGACTCCATCTATATTTTTCACTCTCCCTCTCTTTGTCTATGTTCTATACCCAGGGAAACCCCAACCAGTCTGAGATCATTCTTCACTGCTTGTGTCTCTCAAAGGAAGCAATCAGAAGCTGGGCATAGTTTGTCTATGTGAATATGTCAGGATGGATGGATGGATGGATGGATGAATGGATGGATGGAAGGGGAATAGGGAAGGGATGAAACAAGGTGTCCCTCTACATTGATAGGAAAATAAAGTTTTAATTAGATAACAGATCATTTAAATTTTAATTACCTTCTTTATCATAAGGTAGTAATCCGGGCATATCTTCTGATTCTCCTCCGTCATCCCTTTGTGGAGCCACACGTTTGTAAGACGCTGAAGAGAGAAACAAGAACATGATAAACAGTTGGCGTGGACTCTGCCTGGATGTGGCCAATACTCAGAGAGCACTGGAGCTTGATGTTCAGAGTACAGGAGAACTGCTCCTTGGGAAGAAAAGTATGTTTGTACCCACTGAGCTTGCTCTGCATTTTTAGCACCTTCTTAGGTCCGAGTTCCCTTCTCTTTCCTTCCCTCTTTTCCCTCTAACCCTGTCTCCACATGTTGCTGCCCTGCCCATGAAGCTGTGGGTATCTTTGTCTATGACTTCTGCCATCTGTTTGCACTTCTCTCTTTTTGCTCCTCCACGAAGTTCATCTCTTTACTCCATTATCTCCCTATTTATTCTCTTACCTCACTTTCTCTCTGCTATACTTAGTATTTCATTAACCCTATGCAATCCCTGGGAAGTAAGTTAAAGATTATCTCTCCCCTCCCAAACCCCAACCTGCTAGAGTTTAGAGTTCATATACTGTCAGATAAAATTGGGCCTACTTAGCCAACTCCATTGATGCTCCCAGTCTACATTCTTATTATTCTGTTCCCATTATTCTTCACCCTAGAGCCCTTCCATTAAGGTGCTTAGCCTCCTTTCCCCTCTGTCTCCCACACACCTGAGGAAAGCTGAGTCAAAGTGTAGATGTGTGTCTGGGGGAAGGAAAGGAAATGTCCCTTGCATACAGACAGGCAAACAAATTTAATGAAGTAACTGGTCATTTAAATCATAATTACCTCTCCCATTGCCTGGTAGCAGTTCGGACATCTCTTTAAAATCACCTCCATTCGTCCTTTGGAGAGCTTTGTGCTTACAGGAAACTGAAGGGAAATGCAGAAATGACCAACCAGACGTGACAATAAGGGAACAGAGCCCGGGAACCTCATGCTGAACTCTGGTGTTCAGCACTCGGGTGAGATTCTCCTTGGGAAGGAGGACCTCACCTAAGACGTACCAGAGCCTCCCTCTAGCTCTTCTTCTTCTGTTATCCTTCATATACCTCCTTTCCTTCTCATTGTTCTGTCACCACACACTGTTTCTTCTATACCATGAAAGACTGGACATCTCCATGAATCCATGGGCTTCCCTCTTTGGCTTTTTCTTATTCGTGGCTCTTCCTTGTTCTCTGTTAGTTTTCCTACTCGTGGCTCAGTTTTTCTTTCTAAATCTCTTGCCTCCCACATGGTAAGTCCCAATCCTGCCAGCTCTTTCTGCCTTTCCTTGTTCTCACTACTGAAATATATTTGTTAGGATGAAGGCCTTCTTACACTGGGCCCTGATCCACTGGCCTAAATTCCTGAACACTTTCTGGGTTCCCCCGTGTGAACTCTGCCCTGGTGATACTGGCCACCCTGACTGACAGCCCCACATGATGATCACCATAGTCCTTCCAACTTGTGTAACTACTTTGACCTGGTAAAAGACCCTTATACACTGCAGTGCTCCTATTTCTTTATCTATAAAATAGGAAGAAGCAATAGTTTGTCTCCCTAAATGCATAAGTTTGTGAAGATGAAATTATATCTTATTTGCCAAAATTCTTTGAAAATCACAGTAACATAATAAAAACTATTTGACAAAAATTTTAATTTACGGTGGAGAGCCATTGATCTGAAGGACTATGTTTCTTCTGGGCTTTTTCCAGTATTAGGCACAAAATAATAACATTATCAATAAATAGCATAATGCTTAGTTTTTATTCTCTGGAGAAGCTAAAGGGTCCGTGGGTATAAATCCAAGTTTTTACTATGAATAAGAATGAAAGACATCCCCCTTCTTCAGCAAATCTCTCCCCGAATGTGTATTTGGGAACATTTATGTGATTCATGGGATTCCAGAACACCCTGGATTTTTTCACTGTGGAGTGTGCTCAGGGTAAAATGCATCAGGAAACACCAGCTTGAAACTCAGCTGCCTGACACCCTGCAGCCGAACACTGGCAACCTCCCCACTTCTTTGCTGGGCCCACACCTTGGTGGGGAGCATAAGGCTTCCTGAGGCTCTTCTTCATCGCTAGTCCACCAACAGGCCTCGCTATCCTCAGCAGAAAGGAATCTCAAAAGGAAATCTCACCGACATCTCAATTTATGACCAAGGGAAAATCACAGCAAAAAAATAAGAAAAAACAAGAAACCCTGAGAAACTGAAATGCCCCATTCCACAAGACAACCTGACCTGAGGTTATGTTTGCTTCAGTAGCTTTCACTAGAGGCTGAGAATAATTCACCCATCATGGGAAAATATTCCTCTTCTTACTTACACATCATCCTTTTTCTATTCTTCCCTTTTCCAATTCTGTAAATCTAATCACTCCCTGCCTCAGGTTCTGCTGTTGTCTCTTGGAGCTTCTCTTTCTCTTGGTATGTTTCTCTCTTGTTCTCTGTTCCTGCAACTTTCCCCCTTGTTTTCCCCGATACTGCTCCTCCTCTCCTACCATTTGTCTCTCAGTTGTTCCTGCCTAGCTTTCTCTAAAGACAGGCCTCCCCAAGATGGCCTGTGTTAAGTAGGACTTAACCAGAATGGAGGAAGTTACGCCAAGGGCAGTGGAACAGAAAAACAGTTCTAGACAAGGCACATGAAAAAACTCAGATGTGAAGGAGATATTTAACAATTAAAATCATTGGGGGAGAAAGTTTCTTCTATTTTTCTATTTTCTTCTATTTTTTTACTTTTTTATTTTTTTAAATTTTTTAAAAGATTTTATTTATTTATTTGACAGACAGAAATCTCAAGCAGGCAGAAAGGTAGGCAGAGAGAGAGGGGAAAGCAGGCTCCCCACTGAGCAGAGAGCCAATGTGGGGCTTGATCCCAAGACCCTGAGATCATGACCTGAGCTGAAGGCAGAGGCTTTAACCCACTGAGCCACCCAGGCGCCACAATTTTCTTCTATTTTTTTTAAAAGATTTTATTTATTTATTTGACACAGAGAGAGAGAGAGATCACAAGTAGGTGGAGAGGCAGGCAGAGGGTGGGGGCGGGGTACAGGCTCCCTGCTGAGCAGAGAGCTGGATGAGGGGCTCCATCCCAGGACCCTGAGATCAGGACCTGGGCTGAAGGCAGAGGCTAGAGTCTTAACCCACTGAGCCACTCAGTTTCTTCTATTTTGAAGTAATAGTGTAGCAGGCAGGTGATGAGGCTGGAGAGATAGGCAGATGGCTTATTGTGGGGCAACTCTGGACCCCACTGAGAGAAACTTTTATTTAATTCTTGATGTATTAGGAAGTAGGAAATACTTATTATTTTTCCTAAGTAGGAAAATAATACAATCTAATTTTTATTTTCAAATGTCCCATTCAGTTGAAGGGCAAATAATGCACTTAATGGCAATAAGTTTGGAGGGAGGAGGGAGGCAGAAGCCTGCCTATGAGAACCACGATAGTTGACAGAGACATGGATTAGAGACTCGGCTCTGGGCACTGGACAGATGGACAGGTGGGAGATATTCTGAAGGAGAACTGACCATGTTGGAAGAGTGACAGGTATGTAATTGAGGGCCAGAGAGTCATGGGCAACTGCTAGGTGTCCAACTTGAAAAAAACACAGGTGAACAGCAGTCTATCACTGAGGGACAGAATACTGAGGAGTTAGATCCAGCTTGAGCAAGGAAGAATGAACAATGCTCTCAGTTCAGGGTGTGCCAAGGTTAAGGCTCTTGAAAGAATGCCAGTGTTGGTATCTATCTGACCCCTGGCTTTCAGGTCCATGGATAAATGAGCTCTGAAGATGACCTGGGGTGGAGATTTGGTTTTGGGAATCACTGAAATATTCGGGGAGAGGCCTATTGCAATCTGACATTTCGTAAGTGCCACTTTGATAATTAGGGACAGTTAGATCTGGAAACTCAGAGCTAATGTCAGCCTTTGTGCCCAAAGGTGCTTCTATCCCGTGCCCTGGCCCCAAACCTGCAGCATCCCAACCTGTTCCTCTCCCTCTTGTCCCCTATTTATCAGCCCCCTAGTTTCCATCTATTCTATTTCTCTCCATAGGTGTCTTTGCACTTCCCCAGCTTTCCCCATGTTCTAGTATTTATTTTCCATTCCATATTGCTCTTACTGTAGATTTTTTTCTCAATTTTTATCTCTAATCCTTGAGTCATTTTTCAATTAAATAAACTCTCTGCTACATCTCCCACTTCCTCCCTGCCTATCACTGTTTCTCCCACTTTACCTTGAGCTTCTATCTCTCCATGAGCTGAAATCCTCCTGATTAACTCTCTCATCATCTCCAGCACTCAAGGCTTTGACTACAGTACCAGGGGCCTCCCACTGGCCAGCTCCAGGGGACCAGTCTCCCACATGGACCGCACATGGATGCTACCTCCAAATTCCTTTCAATGGTCTCTGAAGTTAACTGAAATTTATCCCCCTTCCCCACCCTTGAGGGTAAGAATGTATGTTCCTTTTAGAAAACTGGATCCATTTGTGTGATTTGTCCTGTTACCCTAGCTACCTTTTCCTCGTTTTCCTTCTATATTCTCCGTCAAAGAGTAGTCTCTCTACTGAGGAGCTCAGATTCGTTTTTCTCATGGTGTCTGTTACATCTGTGGGTAGGTAAGTTCAGGTAGAAAGAGGGACTAGCAGAAGTCTGGGATCAGAGACAAAATGCAGGTTTTGCTCCCACAAAGATAAGAAAACAAAGATTTAATGCAGAATTGTAAGTTGAATGATAGTTACCTTGCCCCTCATTAAGCAGTAAGCTGGATGTCTCTTCCAGTGCTCTGACATTATTCATTTGGGGAAGTGAGTGTTCACAGGACTCTGAAAAGGGGACAAGAATATGGCAGGACTCAGACAGTGACCAGAAAAGATACCTCTGCGTGCTGAAGCTGAACTCTGATGTTCAAGCTCTAAGGACCCCACCTGGGGCTCACCAAAGCCTTGCTCACCTCTTTTCCATTGTGATGCACCTAACTGAAATGTAAAACAACTGTGTCCCCAATGCAGCCGTGGCACTCACTGGCCATTTTCAACACCTGGAACATTTCCACCAGGCCAGAGAGTTCCCATGTGCTGATTTCAAGTCTGTTTCCAACTATTGTAAGCGACCACTCTTCTGATTTTTTTCACCTTCAATTAAGTCCTTTCTTTCTGGAAATGTGCTCATGTTGTGATGCTCACATAAATAGGGTCACACAGCATACACTCTTGTGATTGGCTTCTTTTGCTCAGTGTACATCGGACTCTTGAACAACACTCACTTTATTTTAGATATATAGATTTTAGACTTTATTTTAGATATATAGATTTCTATATTGGTAGTTTCAATTTACACACTAGAACACAGAATGTAAGTCGCCGAAGTAAGCAAGAGGTAGAGCCCAATGTGAAGCCGGGCAGTGAGAACTCAACACGTTTGCCTAGTGTATAGAAGAGGTGTATAGAAGAGGATACTGGTGTATAGAAGAGGTGTATAGAAGAGGTGTATAGAAGAGGATTCGAGCCTAGATTGGTCATGCGACCTTGCACAAATCACTAACTATCCTCATGTCTCTGTTTCTTTCCCTGGAAAGTGGGACTAACAAAACCTTATCATAAGGGTTGTAATGAGGAGTACTTGTGAAGGGATAGTTGTGTCAGAGTAACTTAGCAAGAAATCATAATTTTCTGTATTAATGCCGTAAGCATTATAATTTGAGAAAAGTTGGCGTTGCTACTGTTGTCACTGTTAAGTGATTATTGCCCTTTATTCTCTTTCCCCCCTTACACTTTCTTTTTCCTCTCTCTCTCTTTCTCGCTTGCTCTTTAAGTAGGGAACTCACATCCCTGAGATCAAGACCTGAGCTGAGCTCAAAAGTCAGATGCTTAATGGACTGAACCATCCCAGAGTCCCTCTTTTTCTTCTGCACAGCATCACTCCTTCCATATTCTCTTCTGCACACAATTATTACTCTCTCTCCCTCTCTTTTCTCTTATTATGGGAAGCATTTACAGCAGTTCCTTGGCTTTCTCTTTGGGTCTGCCTCCTGGTGCCAAATCTTACCCCTTCCCAGATCCACTGAATTCTTAATTCCCACTAAATTGCGTCTCCTGGTCACAATAAGATCTGCTCTTGTGCATTCTTGTTATACCTTCTGAGTGGTCCTATCTGCCTGGCAACATTTTTGAATTCCACACCTGGTTGGTTAGTTAGGATCCCATACAAGCCATCACTGGCCTGGCTTTCCCTTCCCCCACCATCTCCTTTTATACTCCTCCCCAGGGGGCACACTCCACCCAGGAGCTTGGCCCCCTGATCTCTGCTGCCTTACCTCTCAGCAGATGAGAGAACAAGTCTCTGTGAAATCACACATACCTAATTGGTGGGGTACTTGTAAGTGGAACATTTCCTTTGTCTCTTCTTCATCAATGGCTTCATAATGGAAGTTGTCACAAATCACTGGGAAGAGGAAGAAAAGGCAGTGACCAGGAGCTTCCTCTCTCAACTACACACCTGGCTCACCCCTGACTCCAGCCGTTCAGCGGGAGCCTTCCAGCTCTCGGGGAACCCTGGGCTTCAGCGGGTCTCATGGGATGAGAGACTGATGTTACTGTACATCTCACAAGGTTTAAGAGAAGATGGACAGTGGAAAAGTTGTAAATAGTTCAATGAACTATTTAGAACAAGGAAAGCTAATTTAAAATAGATTATATATATATATATATACATATATATATATATATATGAAATGTATTTTGTAAATTCTACATGCAACTAGGAATAGAGAAGAAGCAGAGGGATTTCACCAGGAGGAAAGTAATGTTTAAAGAGAAATAGACCTATATAAAAAAAGAGAGCCCCAATATCTTTTAAGGATGGAGGTTTTAAAGGAAAGAAACAAAGAAGCAAAGAAACAAGAGAAAGAAAAAGAGGAAAGAAAGAAGGAAGAAAGAGAGGGAAGGAGGGAGAGAAGGGGGAAGGGAGAGAAGGATAGAGGGAGGAAGAACGGAAGGGAGGGAAGGACGGAGGGAGAAAGGGGATCTTAGATCAGGGAAGGAGGATGATCTTGTTACAAAGTAAACTAACAGTGAAGAGGAACTAGCATTTTCCTGGGGTGGGGTGGGTGGGGAGAGATACAGGGAACAACAACAAAAAGACACTCTGTTAGGCACACACAGTTTGAGAGATACAACTGAAGGTGAATATCACAGCTGTACCAGGGTCCCAGGAAATGGCAACAAAAAGTGCAGGAAAGCAGCCTAGGGCACCCCGCTTCGCAGCTGCGTCTAAAGGCAACTCAATCAAAGATAGATGGAAAAGCAAGACTCACAAAACATGAGAAAAGAAATCCAAGAAATAGAGAAAGACACCAGCCAAGAAAGATGACAGGAGCACAACTTCTGGAAGCAGCCCCCACTGAAGGGTGAGGGCAGTAAGGTTGGGGGAAAGATAGAAAGGCTCAATTCGCACAAGAGATGCTTCTGCAATCCCCAGGACACATTGACTTCTTGTCCAGGCAAACTCCAGAGGAGGACATGGGGATAAATGCTGTGTGAGTCAGAGGTCTTGGGAACACAGGGGGCACCCCACGTGCATGTATGTGTCTCTCTACAGGTTGAACAACCATCCTACCAGCTTCTTGGCTTTGGACCTTGACCCATGGCTCCCTTGAACAGTAGGGTCTAGGAGGCGCCAGCAGCAACCTCCTGGTGAGTGTACAGGGGCGTGGTAAGCCTCAGCATGGGGAGCCCCAGAAACTAACAAGGAGCTGGTGTCCAAGGAAGGGGATCCCCACAGACCACGGAGAGGATTAGAGCCTCTGAGATGTGGGCAGTAACAATAACTGCCATTCCTTCATACCCATGAGCTTGGGCCATCCTAGTTCTACATATTAAACTAACTTAAAATTTATGATTGGTATTTGATTTCCTTTATTCCTTTTTTGACTTGGATATACCATAACGTGGAAATATAGTTTTTCTTTTAATCAAGGTTTGGCTTTCACAAGCCAGCATGTCCCAGTCTGTACATTGACTTCTTTCACTTTTTCTCTGCTTAAAAATCCTTCATTACCTCCTTATTTCCCAGATAGTAAACTTCAAATTTCTCGGCACTGGGAATCAGACCCTCAAAAATCCCCAGCAACTTCCCTTCACAGAATTAGCTTCCAAACACTCTCTCCCAGGCTGTATTTTCAGCCACAGCCTTCTGCCAGCCCACTGGTCCTTTCCCAGCTGCCGCTCCCCAGTCCTCTCTAGTGACTTCTCCGCTATTTGTCTGGAGAAGTAAGTTGGCAACAACTGCACCAAATGACACATTTTCTAAGACAAAGAAAACCTTTGAATATTTACACAGGACTACAGGTAACAGAGAAGCTTCCTCCCCTTTCCTACAAAAGCACATCATTCATGCCTTCCCCCCTAAAAAAATGTAGAGGTTCAAATCCTATATTTCTCAGCACCAAATTCAGGTCCTGGCTGAGCAATCATTGGTGGAGTTACTTGGCTAAAGGTCTGTCACCCCCACTGGCTGTTAAGTTCCATGAGGACATGGATCATGTGCATTTTCTTCACCACTGTCCGTGCCTGCTATGGAGCAGTCGCTCAATAAAACGACTGTCAAATATTAATGAAGATTGAATGAATGTATTAGTATGAATGGGCTTGAATCCCCCAAAGTTGTTGAAAGCTGTAATTACCATTTTGGAAGCTTCTGCAGATCTCAAGTAAGTCAGGATAGGCCCTTAGGTTAGGGTTGCTGAACAGTGCATCCAGAACTGTCTTGTCAAATGTCTTCTCCAGTTCACTGAGCGCATGATAGACCACTTTTTCCACTGGGACCTGATTCCAATAAGCTTCTTCAAAATTCTTAAAAATATTGAACAGAGAATTATGTAGACATGGATTTGCAGGTTATAGAAGATGCAGATTGTAGCCCAGATCACCTGTTCTCTTGTGAAATGTTAGAATGTCGCACATGTTTGGATGACTTCTTAAATAACCATCACAAAAATAGACCCTTATTTGAACGTCTCTGACACTGATGCACACTTGAGGGAAGAATAAAGGTGGCTTCAAAGTTGAATGATTGTGGACGTTTCAAGAGCCTGGCTAGGATGCTTTAAGAGTGGTAATGACTGGTAATGAGAGGCCATTCTGTTGACAGGACAGTAACCACTGCCCTCCCACCAGGACTGACCTGCCCTGAAGGGCTCCAGGAATTCAGGTGGCCACTCTTCCCGGCAATGAATGTGGCCAAAGGGCAAAGAAAATTCATAAAGACAAAAAGAAGACTTGTCCTCAGTGTCCCCAGGAAGACCCATTATTAACCTTCCTCCGTGTCCTAGGGCTCCAGAAATTTCTGAAGAGCAAGAAATGATTTTGACTGAGAGTGTAAGCATTTGCCTCTGGATTTATCCTAACGTGACCCAGCTTACCTGTGAGTTTCAATCATCTCGGGTTCAGATGTGTCAAATAAGAGGGCTTTGTAATGAAACATTGCCCAGTTCATTTATTTGCTTTTAGTTCCTGTTACTCGATTGTATAAATGTACCTAAGATGCACTGTAGCTTTGTAACATCTCCAGTCCTAATCCAGCTCCATCTCCACCACCATGCCCTTCCCTCCCACATTTCCTACTGAAGAAGGAATGTTTTCTGTGTTGCTGTTTCTCCTGTCACCTCTTAACTTACAGGATGGTGGTGGTCCCCACGCACAGAAGACCCTTGGGCCTGTTCATTGCACCCTGCAGTCTAGCAGAACATTGGTGGAGCTGGATATCATAAGAAAAGTCTCCTCACTTACTTGGAACTTTTGCTCAGAGATAAAGCCACGGTCTCGGAGGCCCATAAGGAGAGGAAATGGCTTATTTATTGCACTTGCAATCTCCACCTTATTCTCTTTGAAGAACCTAAAAATAAACTCAGCCTGCTCCTCTGGGATTTGGTCTTCTAGGTTCTGGTTCCCTGTGGATATCCTAAGAAACAAAAGACACATTACGAATTGAGTTTCCAAGAGGCCTGTGGTGAGTGGAAGATTTTAGACATGAAAGAGAATCACGGGAGAGCCAATGTGTATCCAATAGTGTTCTTGTGGAAGGACCAGAATAAATGGAATTTGTTTACTGACAGAGTAATCAAGGATGCAGTAGAAGAAGACACTTCACTTAAGAAAGACTTGTATGTGGCAGTGAAAGAGTTCACCCGTGATAATCAAAACTACTGAGAAAGACTTTACCTGAATCTTCTAAAGAAAACATTGAATTTAAAAATGTTAACATCTTTACAGGAATTGATATGATACTGTGATAGCGAATTTTAGGTGTCAACTTGGAGGGGATTTGGGGAAGAGAATAACATTTAAATTGGCAGATTTCGAGTAAGTAGGCCGTCTGTAATGTGGGCCTCATCCAATCAGACAAAGGCCCAGATAGAACCAAAAAACTGACCTTGCCATGAAGGCCCAGATAGAACAATAAGACTGAAGAAATTCACTAACAGACCACTTTCAGACCAGAACTACACCATCAGCTCTGATGGGACTCCAGCCTACCAGCTCTATGGCAGATTTTGGAATTGCCAGGATCCATGTTCATGTGAGCTGATTCCTTTTATTTTTTAAGATTTTATTTATTTATTTGAAAGAGAGAAAAAGAGAGTCCATAAGCAGGGAGTAGAGGGAGAATCAGGTTCCCTGCTCAGCAGGGAGCCTGATGCAGGGCTCAATCCCAGGACCCTGGGATCATGACCAGAGCCGAAGGCAGATGCCTAACTGGCTGAGCCATCCAGGCACCCCACAAGCTAATTCTTTATAATAAATCTCTTTTACACATGTGCACATACACACACACACAAACACACATACACACATTTTGTTTTTTCTGTTTCTCTGGAGAAACCTGACTAATATACACAGTTGTTGTTGGTTTTTTTTAAGATTTTATTTATTTATTTGACAGAGATCACAAGTAGGCAGAGAGGCAGGCAGAGAGAGAGAGAGAGAGAGAATGGAAGAAGCAGGCTCCCTGCCAAACAGAGAGCCTGATGCAGGGCTCAATCCCAGGACTCCAGGACCATGACCCGAGCGGAAGGCAGAGGCTTCAACCCACTGAGCCACCCAGCCGTCCTATATACACTGTTTTTAAAAGAAGTTCATAGACCAGGGGCGCCTGGGTGGCTCAGTGGGTTAAGCCGCTGCCTTCAGCTCAGGTCATGATCTCAGGGTCCTGGGATCGAGTCCCGCATCGGGCTCTCTGCTCAGCAAGAAGCCTGCTTGCTTCCCTCTCTCTCTCTGCCTGACTCTCCGTCTACTTGTGATCTCTGTCTGTCAAATAAATAAATAAAATCTTTAAAAAAAAAAAAAGAAGTTCATAGACCAAAAAAAATACAAAAACAACTAAGATAATATTACAGAACATAGCACTGAACAGCAAGGTGTTTTTTCTTTAAACAAGGTATGCCTGATTTGTTTGCCTTTTTCCATGTATCATTATATTTATAATGTGTCCATATTGATATTTTTAAGTCAAATCAGTGCATTTTAATTGCTGTGTAATAATATTTTACATAAATATAGACAACATTTTCCTAATAATCCTTTACTGGTAAATGTTTAGGTCTATTCCGATTTTTTGTTCTTATGAGCAGTATTTTTGTGAACATCCTTGTTTAGATCTCCTTATGTGCACATAACAAGAATTCCTTTAGCTTATGCACCTAGAAGTTAATTGTACAGTAATTGGGTATACCACCTTCAAACTTTTAAGTTGCTAAGTTCTTTTTCAAAGTGATTGATTAGTTTATAGTCTTGCCAGAATTTCATAAGAGTTTTTCTTTAGACCTTTGTAGACACTAAGTATTGTCATACTTCAAAACTTCAATCATGATGGCTGTAAAGCCAACTTAATTTTGTTTTCATCTACATCAGGAAGTATTTTCTGCAGTTAAAAGAAACATGCAGGAAGTAGCAGGCTGAGACGACATCAGGTAGCCAGAGATCAGCTAGATAGCTTATCAAACCATTCTGAACACCTACAAATCCAACAGGAGATCAAAGATAAGAGCAACAATTCTAGAAACAAAATAGACCACTTTCTGAAAGGTAGGACCGGCAGAGAAGTAAATCCAAAGCGATGGGAAAATAGACCACGGGGGAAGGGCCCAGCTCCTGGCAAACGGCAGAGCAACAGAGCACAAAGTCAGTACTTTGAAAGTCTGCTCCACTGAGGGACATCGCTCCTTAGGCTAAACCGGGGTGAAGCCCACGCAGGGACATGTGGCCTCAGGTCCTGCGGGGTCACAGAAGGATTGGGGCTGTCTGAGTGTCACAGAACTCACAGGTATTAGAGCAGGGAAGCCAGCCACAGAGACAGAGCCAAGGAGTGAGCTCTCAACTCAGGGTTACCTTGAACCGTAATCCGTGGCACAGGTCACTGTGAGTGGGGTCCCTACAAGATCCGGGGAGACACCCCCTAGAAGAGCTCAGGGATCTGCAGTGTTCAGAGACTCTAGGCAGAGCTGCATGCCAGAGACAGAGATGCTTGGTCACAGGCTGGGTGAGCTTGGAGCGCGGCCGGGGTCCAGGGAGACAGGAGTAATTGAGCACTTCTCTCTGAGTCTGCACTGAGAAGTGGGGCCCTGAGCTCTCGGCTCCTCCAGGCCGGAGATTGGGAGGCTGCCATTTTCATTCCCGTCCTCCGGAACTCTACAGAAAGCATTCAGGGAACAAAAGCTCCTGAAAGGGAACCCGAGCGGATTACTTAACCTGGCCCCTGGTAAGGGCTGTGCAATTCCACCTCAGGCAAAGACACTTCAGAATCACTACAACAGGCCCCTCCCCCAGAAGATCAATGAGAAATCCAGCCAAGACCAAGTTCACTTACCAAGGAGAAGAGCGGAATTCCAGAGGAGGAGAAGGCAAAGCATGGAATTCATGGCTTTCTCCCCATGATTCTTTAGACTTGCAAAGTTAGTTAATTTTTTAAACTTTATTTTTTTTCTTCTGCTAATTTTTTTTAACTTTTACCCTTTCCTCTTTTAACATTTTTAACTAGCTTATCTTAACAATATCTTTCATTAAAAAAATAACCTTTTTTGAACCTTCATTATTATAGTCATATTTTATCCTTCATTGTATCTAATTTTATTTTTTGTATACACATAGGGTTTTTTCTTCTAAAAAATTTGGAGTACAACTTCTTCTAATAGATCAAAATACACCCTAAATCTAATACTGGGCTTGTTCTAGTCTCCAGCCTGAGCAAATTCTCTCCACCTTCTTTTTCATTATTCTCCCAACCAACTTACCTTACCAATTCCTTTTTTAGAAATTTAAAAAAAAATTTTTTTTCATCTTTATAGTCATATTTCATCCCTTCATTGTGTTTACCCTTACATACGTCCTTCATTCTTTAAAATTTTGGGAGGTAGTTTCTTCTAAGAGACCAAAATACTTCCAAAATTAAGTAGGTGACCCTGTTCTAGTCACCAGTCTAATATATACATATTTTTTCTTTATTTGTTTTCTTTTTTTAATTTTTTTTTCTGAACTTCTTTTTACCTACTTCCCCACCCCCGCCACAATTTGGGGTCTCTTCTGATTTGGTTAAAGCACATTTTCCTGGAGTCTTTGCCACCCTTTTAGTATTTTATTTACTTCTTTATATATTCTTATCTGGACAAAATGACAAGATGGAAAAACTCACCACAAGAAAAAGTACAAGAGGTAGCACTGAAGGCTAGGGTCCTAATCAATATGGACATGGGTAATATGTCAGATCTAGAGTTCAGAATGACAATTCTCAAGGTTCTAGCTGGACTTGAAAAAGGCATGGAAGATATTAGAGAAACCCTGTCCAGAGAAATAAAAGCCCTTTCTGGAGAAATAAAAGAACTAAAATCTAACCAAGTTGAAATTAAAAAAGCTATTAATGAGGTACAGTTTTAAAATGGAGGCTCTTACTGCTAGGATAAATGAGGCAGAAGAAAGAATTAGTGATATAGAAGACCAAATGACAGAGAATAAGGAAGCTGAGCAAAAGAGAGACAAACAACTACTGGACCACAAGGGGAGAATTCGAGAGATAAGTGATACCATAAGACGAAACAACATTAGAATAATTGGGATTCCAGAAGAAGAAGAAAGAGAGAGGGAAGCAGAAGGTATATTGGAGAGAATTATTGTAGAGGATTTCCCTAATATGGCAAAGGGAACAAGCATCAAAATCCAGGAGGTGCAGAGAACCCCCCTCAAAATCAATAAGAATAGGTCCACACCCTGTCATCTAATAGTAAAATTTACAAGTCTTAGTGACAAAGAGAAAATCCTGAAAGCAGCCTGGGACAAGAGGTCTGTAACATACAATGGTAAAAATATTAGATTGGCAGCTGACTTATCCACAGAGACCCGGCAGGCCAGAAAGAGCTGGCATGATATATTCAGAGCACTAAACGAGGAAAACATGCAGCCAAGAATACCATATCCAGCTAGGCTATCATTGAAAATAGAAGGAGAGATAAAAACCTTGCAGGAGAAACAAAAACTGAAAGAATTTGCAAACACCAAACTAGCTCTACAGGAAATATTGAAAGGGGTCCTCTAAGCAAAGAGACACCCTAAATGTAGTAGACCAGAAAAGAAGAGAGACAATATACAGTAACAGTCACCTTACAGGCAATATAATGGCACTAAATTCATACCTCTCAATAGTTACCCTGAATGTAAATGAGCTAAATGACCCAATCAAAAGACACAGGGTATCAGAATGTTTAAAAAAAACAAAACCCATCAATATTCTGCCTACAAGAAACTCATTTTAGACGTGAAGACAACTCCAGATTTTAAGTGAGGGGGTGGAAAACAACTTACCATGCTAATGGACATCAAAAGAAAGCCAGGGTGGCAATCCTTATATCAGATCAACTAGATTTTAAGCCAAAGACTATAATAAGAGATGAGGAAGGACACTGTATTATACTC